ATTTGAAAAGTTATAAAAGCTGATCCCTATGTATATAATTGTGATCGAACTTATAGTATTCATCGAGCAAGAGCAGTATTCGTCTATTTATTTGTTCAGAGATAGGTTTCATATTATTAACTTACACACTACATCCTCTTCTGAACAATGTCATAATTACCGTGTAGGAAACTACTCCCGCATTCGGTCCTTTTTTGAAGCCTCATAGCTGCAGTGCACCTTAATAGGATCATTCACGGTCACAAGAAGTCACAAGAAAATGCGCTAATGGGTGACGTCGGCAAAACAGAAGCGATGGTACGGTCGTGTATAATTTATTCTAAATTATGATATGTCTTCTAACGCATCCATCTGGAATGAATTCTTTTTTCCACTGGAGATAAAATTCGTCTAAAATAACCGTAAAAAAAGTGTACATAAAATGCGGCTAAAGTAATACTAGAGAATTTTTGCCATAGTTTTGCGTATTATTAGATCATTTCAGGCATGGATTCACTGTTTTACAGCTCTGAAAATTATCGATTGCGATCAGTTGAATTGTAGTTCAGTTCACTTAATATATTTTTCTAGCTGACATCAATTGAAGAGTGGTAGCAATATTACCATATGTGACATATATATATATTTCGATGAAACGATGACCCCAATGAAAAAAGATATGCGGGATGAAGACGGACTGATTTAGTGCTATATTTGCAATTGTTCAAATTTAGGATGAAATGATTTCTGTATGAGAGCAATTTGGCAGATAAATTAGATTGTAACCATTTTTTATAAAACAAGTCATCAAAGAAATCATTTTCCCGTCTTGACAAGGATGAATTGTTCCCTAAAATGGAAGCCGCCCTGTTATTGTTCAATTAAAGGGAACATATATAGACATCTGCCATTTCGCTACATGGCTTTTATAATTGCATAATCTTCTCTCCATTATTTATCATTTTCTTCTGAAAAAGATGGAGAGAGAAATGAATGAATGAGATGATGTCTTACGTTACAGTATACTTACCTATCATTTACCGATACACTCTGACATAAAGTTTGAAATTTTCATCCTTAGTAGGTTTACTCTTAAAAGAAGAATTGATGGATAAAGTTAATTCAATCAACAATTATCGTCGCATGTATGTTTCGCTGTGAAAGTAATATTTATGCTATCGATAGTTAATTTTTCGAGAATTGATTTATTAGCTTTTTCAAATGTTGAAATTTCTCATTTAATCAATTGAGATTTGACCCAGAATTGTCACATGGAATAATTCTTTTCTAGTTTTACTATCTTATAAGAATTCGCTTTTGTTTCACTTGTCATGCATAGCTTCTCCCAGAGGTTCCCCTTCAACATCCCCAATCATTTATTAAACAATCATATCTGAGCAATTTTGTCATAATAAAACAAGAAAAGTATAACATGAATATTGCAACACATATGTGCATGATTAACCTCTACCCTTTCTATCCATACTATTCACCTTCCAACAACACTAATTTACTGATAATTTAACCCAATAAATCGGTGACCAATGTCTTCCTTTCCTTATCCCATTAAATTACACAGAAGGCACAATTCGAGCCCCTCATTTCTTTTAATTTCCTTTTCACCGTTCTGTTGTTAAAGAAACAACAAATTTTTCTTTTCATCATATCTTTTTCTATACTTTTATTTGTTATATTCATAAATGACCTCAAATCTCAATTGATTCGGCCATTTATTGCATTTTTAAATTCCCTTCAGAGATATTTATTAGTAAGAGCTAAATAATTTACAAACATATCGAATTCAACATTCTACTTGTTGACAATGTGTTGATTAATGGTAATTCAAAAATACCGTAAGACAAATTCAGGATGCAAGAGATTGAGGTAATTATTTTAGTATGCCGTTGCATTCACATAATATCGAATTCGATGTTTGAAAGAATTTGATGTATAAAAAGAGTAAGTAATACAAGAACGTACAATTATGATATTAGAGTTAGATCGATATTTCCTATGATCAATGGTGATTTTCCTATATATTAAAATTCTGTTTTTTTTTTCAATTCTGTTTCATTTTGATGTAAACTATCACCGCTTACGTAGTAAGACAACGAAAGCTTAGTGCGGAAGTTAAAAAAAATTCGAATCTGAACATGGGATATGCGAATGGATCGATCGCTTCTTATCGAACTATCCATCGGTTGTTATAAATATCGCGTCCTTTTCTACCCAATTTCATTTCTTGTCATCCAAACCGCAAAATATCTCAAATTACTCTCTTGTCCCTTGTCATTATCACAACTCGTCCATTAAGAGTAATACTATATCTTATGCATTTCTTCTTACTCTCTCCCTCAGTTTAAATGACAATACAAATATCACATGTGCTAACAGATGGAAATATACAATTGAAATATGCATATAATCTAAAATTTGTGGACATTATGGATTACATACATACACACACATACACACGTATATATGATATGTGTTGGTATTACTGAGTGAATCGTCGTCGAATCTGCGCTAATATTTCATCCGCATCACAAAATGCTGATATTTGTGGAATTAAGTACGACTGTATAATTTGTCTGCTTTAGTTCGTATGTGAGAAAAATGTTATCATTAATTATCATCAGTTTATCACCATATGATTTTCATCAATAATCATGAGATTGTTTGAACAATTTTCGAAAACTGTGAAGGAGGTAACTGGTATTGTTGCAGTAAATAAGATAATTGAATATAAAATTGATGTTGATAAATTCTCTGTGAAAAAAAAACAAAGCTGATTATAGCAAAATACATTATTTGAAAAAATAAAGAAAAGATTTAAATCAAAAGAAGTACCGATATTAGTTTCTCATAGTTGATTCAATCCAGGATCCCTCAACATCCTACTGATTATGTTTTTTTTTTTTTCACCACAATTTCTTTAGCGATCTCAAAATTAAGACAACCTGCCAGGATTGAATGATTATATGATGAGTGGGATAAAAGCAGTACCGCATACAAATAGGGCCACAAATGATTGTCAGAAGCAACTGTTTCCGAGGCTTTCATTATTTTTCTCTAGTTTATGCTTATTTTGGAATTTTAACAATAATATAAATGTAAGCGCACACAATTCATCGCGTTATATAAATCCTGAAGTATCGCGGAACATCTAACTTAAAGGCTTAAGCGAGCCAAGGGAAATATAAACTATTTAAAGCAATGCTAAAATTAGCATAAAGACTTTTTAAAAAAGGCAAGCATAAAATTTAGACCGAAATATTAACTATCCAATCTTAATGATTTTAGTAATTGCAATATATATATATATATATATATATATATATATAAAATTATCTAGGCTATCATTCAGATCACTTTCATCCTTAATTTATTTATGCTTTTAAACATTCTTCAACGGATTTATGAATTTAAATTAAGATAATAGAGAAAAGCTCTCTTTTAAATATTTAAATATGTCTTCTCTTTTAATTTTCTTCAAACGCATTTATTTCACATATATAATCAACTTGACCTGAGACGAGGTATTTTAATACAGTGGCTTTCTTTCTGAGTACATTAAAAACTCCCGGGCAGTAGGACAAAACTAATGCTGGCCAATATTATTATATTAAACAACTATTTATCGTTGATTCGTTAGCTCTTCATAGCTTACTATCATTTTACCAAAATTTATTTAAAATAAATAAGTCAATAAAGTGATGAATCAACAGTAAGTAAAAATTTTTAGTATTAGCACTATTCAAGCATATTCTGCTCAGTTTTAATTAATTTAATTTAAATTTAAGGAAATAACTATGAAGCTTGTTTGAGCAGTTGAAAAAACTGCAAAGAAATAAAAAGCAGAATCATTCCATTCCTATATAATTATTCCATATATGAGAAGTTTGGAAGTAGAGTTAAAAGAAAATCGTCACTTTTAAAAAACCACTCAATATTACGAAATTCCCTCATAAGAAAAATTCGGAAAGTTTCGGAATGCCTTACAACAAACATTATACGTTCTTATTCTTTTATTAATATTAATTTTTCGCAATTTTTGTCCGGAATCTGGAAAAACGGATTGTCCAGATGTTATATTTCTGCATGATTTTTACTTAAGAAACATTAAATTAATTAACTTCTCCTTTCAGTCCTGCATAAGTTATCAAAAACATAATTCTAAGTCGCAAAAAGAAATTCAAAATAAAATTAAAAAGAAACGTTTTTCATTAATAATTCATTTTGCATTATTAAAATTTAAAAGGAGAAGTTTATTTCAATAACTTTGAAAAAGGTTACAGTACAAAATAGCAATTCGATAATTTATAACAAATTATTTCAATTGTAAGTTAAAAAATATTTAATAAAATATCATAAAAAAACCAATTGTTGGGATTTCCACTTTACAACACTTCCTTGTAAAACATCAAATGTTTTTCCTAAATCAACTGAGTCTAATTTGTATAATAAAATTTTAAAAATTTGAAAAATTGGCTAAAAAATGATGCAAATGCATGAAATGAAATATTGTAACATTGACATCTAATAAACTATTGTTGCTATGTACAACAATATAACAAAGCAATATCCCTGCATATTGTACGAAATAAATATTTATTTCATCGATTTTGTTTTTTGTTTTTGTTTTTGTTTTTTAACACTAATGATGTGAGATAACCATGATCGACATCGGATTTCGGGAAGCAATTCTGCAATATCTTCTCATTTGTTTAAAAAAACTTTTGAACGGATGAATTTGTTACTTTCGATTCAAAATTGGAACTGCACCTTGAAAAAAAAACGGATTTTTAAGCAAAAAATTTAAAATAGCTGTACTATTCTAATAATGCTAAATGTAGAGGTAGTTAGCAAAATATGCTTGAAATGAATAAATTATTCAGCATATATCTAATAATAGCATTAAATTGTATTGTATTAATGAAATACACAAAATAAGAACTTTTCTTTATCTGACACTCTTCAGTGCTAAGGAAAGATTTTCGATAAGCGAAAGTGATGGATTTCTACTCGCTGCATGATGGCGATGATAAATCAGAAGCATTCACTTGAGGCGAAAATTCAAGATCTGTGCCCATATTAATAACCGAGAAAAGATGGTTGTTTGATCCGGTTCCGGTCATCATACTACCATAACCACTATTACTTAAATCATTTCCCAAATCTGCATAGTGAGGTGGCGGCGGTGGCATCTACAAATAATGTGATAAGATAATATGTAAATCCTGAAAGTTAAAAAAATTTTTTTAAATTTATTTAAACAGTAAGTTGTGATTTAAATCTCCAATATTACAACTCAGAAACTTTAGAATTAGTAATTTTTAAGATCAAAATATATGCTAGAATGACCTGAAATACACGTTCAGATTTAAAAACTTAAAGTTTATCAGTTTTGCGGAAACACACATTTGCAATATGTAACTTTTGATTATTACTTGTTTCCAATTAATCTATGAAATACAAAGTTATATACCATATAGTAACATGTATTTTAATGATCTTAATTTTAATATCAGCGTTACACGCTAGTTTTTGCAGAAGAAAGTGATAACTAAGTAAAATTTATGCAAATATATGAAGTAAAGACGAAGGGAATGAGATGATAATTGAAAAGGTGTTATTTAGTGCTTTCCGCTCACCGAATGAAGTGATGTAAAAAAGGTCGCGAACTTTGAAGTATGTTTGCGCAGCTGTTGATAAATAAGGAAAGAATAAAGAAACTGAAACAAAGAACTAACCGCCATGGGTCATGCACTAAATAATACAGAAGTCAGCTGTCCTATACTATTATTTTACTTGCTTAAATTAAAAGAAATTCTGGCTAAGCTAAAGATGCACTTCCTAATTGAAAAAAATAACTTAGTACTTTTAAATTAAGATAAATAGTCTAGTAGAAGAGTGAAAATCTTTGAATTATAATGACCGTGAAATTCTAAAATTTGCCAGCTATGATTTCTTAACTAATTGAGAATTTTCATTATTTCTTTAGCACTTATAAATGAAATCACTAAGATTTTGAATATTTTAAGAACATACGTTCGTTATATTTTCATCAAATTAATTTAAAAAAGTCTTAATTTGGAAAAAATGTAAGAAATTTTAGAGAAATATTAAAATTGAGATAAAACATACAATTTGAGCATACGGTGAAGGCTGTTGCAATGTAGACTGCAGCGATGTATGCTGAGGTTGTGGCATACCTCCTTGAGCATTCATGCCTTCCATACCGGACCAGATATTCGGATTTTGCGGAAATTGATGAATATCCACAGGCTGGATACCAACTAAATTCGGATCACTGTGTGGTGTTGGTGATGTAGCTATCAATGGACCAACACCACCCAATCGCACCCCCGTAATAGCTCTTTCCTAAAAAAATATCTTATCATAAAACTATTAATAGAAACTATTTTATCACTAAAACAATAATCGTAAGCACAGTTATAATTCATACCTGTTGACAATCATAAAATGATATTATTGATGAGTAATTTATAACGCATCGATAATTAAAAAATCAGTGATAGATTCAAGCGATTGGCTTCTAGTCATTAAATATAATTAAGTTTCCTTATTTCATATCTTAATCAGTTTAACAATTTCAACGTTTATCGTTGGTAATCTTAAACATGACGAAGAAGAAGTCATTTCATGATTCGCTGAATAGACCGAGAAATCTTTCTTGGGTTTCTCATTAAATTCATTGATTAAGTGTTCTTAAGACAAAATGTTAATGATAAACATAAGCTAATCAAATTCGATGCTAATTGATAAGGTTTTGTGAAAAGTGAAAATTTGATGCAATGAATTTAAAATCCTCTGCTCCCTTACAATCCATTCATAGGTAAATTCATGGGTAATGGAACTGATGTATGCACAAAAGTATTGTCACAGATGGATATAGCCACTGCCAACAAACATGAAAATCCACCCATCCATTCATTGTATTGCCCTTTATCTTATCCCTAACATAAATACAGAAACCAATAGAAATGAATCACTATTAGAACTAGAATTGCAAGCTTAATTTCAATTTATTAAAGTTAAAATTTTAATTCCAACCACGAATAATACTACGATCAAATTCATATCCTTCAACTAGTCAGATTTGTACTTCTTGAACTAAATAGATATGACAAATGTTGCTATCTCTCAACCGTACATAATTCAGTTGACAAGTTACATCATTGATGTGATTATTGCACAGAGTAATTTCATCTGCTGGAAGCCTAGAAAGGCCTTGATCTGCACATTCCTACTTATGATAGTAGGAGTGAGCTATCATTTATGCTCCAAGCTGGCATCTACATGGATGACAAATAAAAGGAGACGGTTGGATGACGATCGGTTGGGAACTGTGTATGTGGTCTCTTTCCGCTTCACTGGATTAGATGTAAACCGCTGAAGTGTTTCATTCCATTACGGTATTTGAATTCAAGCCTATGACTGACTTGTTTACTTGAATGCCCTAACATACATACATACACATACACATACAACAACATATATGACGCTGATTTATTTCACCATCCTAATGCTATGTTCTGCTCAGTCAACCGAATTATATACGCAGACATCAGAGCACTCATTTGAATACTTGAAAAAATTTTTTTTTAATCAGATAAGACATGTCTGTTAGACAATACTTAATAAAGTGTGCACTAAAAAAGAGGTCAGTGAGAGGTTAACTTCATTAATTTAAAATATTTGACAATTTAAAGGAATATTATTTTTCAAAAAAAACAAAAAACAAATTCTACCAGAACTAATAGAACTGAAGAATTGCATATATGTTATATTTCTTACATACTATAACTTCAAAAAATGGCTCCCTCCCTTTTAAAGCTTCACTTCTTCCATTTCACATGGTCAAGTATTTCCCTTTAGGCCCTTTTTCTTTTACTCACTCTTCAAAAAGGGACAATTTAGGAATGAGTGCTTTCAATAGCACTTCAATCAAGGAAAACATACTGTATCAGAAAGAAAGATGGTTGATTTTTATTTACAATATTAATTAATACAATTGAATGAAATCTTCTCTTCTTCTTTTTCTTTGTTTGAAATCAAAAGTTTTTTGTTTTTAACTTTGTTTCATTTTTTAGCAAAGAAATTAATAGAAGTGGAAGAGAGTGGAAAGTTTTTGAAGATTACAACTTATTTGTAACTCTTTTAAAACTCACTTCACTATTTTATTTCTTTTCCATCAAATAAAAATTGATAATATCGAAGTGATGAAAAAAGCCTTTTTCCATTGTTCCACCTGTTTATTGTTGCCCTGACTGTTTATTTAAAAAAAACGATAGAATTCCAAAGTTGTCCTGAAATCAAACCAAATATGCTACTTAAAATCAAAACAACCGAGCTTAAAACTAACGCGCATCATCGTTGATTTTAAGCAATTTCTGGTGAAAAATATTACAGGTGGAGAAAAAACTGAGGTATCCTCAATCTCATCAATTAAGGTAACAGATTTATTTGTTTGTTTATTCATAATATCCTGTCATCATATCAATTATTATTCAATAAATTAATTCATTGCTCAAAAATGCAATCTAAATCCAAATCACTTTTTTTTCAACCCCAATTTTCCCGCATTTCAAAATATCCAATCCATTATTTGTTTATTTAACAAGAATAAATGGCCATATGGTCAAGTATTTAAGTACCATATAGTGAGATGATTAAGAAGTGTATTATTTGCTCACAAACTATACCAAAAACATATGTTTCACTCAGATTACTCTTCCACATCTCATATTTTTCATACCGATTTATTTAATTTCGGATAAATGCTAATAGTTTAATTTCTTTTTTAGATTTCAAATTTCACTTAAAACATTTCTCTCTGTCAAACCTAAATCTTCAATTTAAGCCTAATTTGAATTCATTTTATTGATAGTTTTTTTTTTCACTGGTCCACTGGTCCGCTGCTACCACTCAATGAAGAAAACTTAGCATGCAATATATTAAAGATGGGAATTATTATCGCGGATGAGAAAGTTAAAGGCATTATCGAAAGGAATTATTTTCATAGTCAACAGTAGTCGATAAGCTGTGGAATTCATTGTTGACTTCTTAAATGACCTTTAACTGCGGTCATCTCATATAGTTTATTATGATAAGATCATGATATTCTCAGTAACATTGGTACAGTCCCATATGCGCTCACATACTGTTTCATTACCATAATTTTTCTCAGCAATTCAACTGTTAAATAAGAATGTGTGAAAAAAAGCATTGTAATTTAAGAAATACTGCAGCAGAAGAAAATAGTTAGTTTCCTTTTAAATTATTCAAATACTTTTTGTAATTTCACTTCTCATTTTTAGCTGACATTTCATTTCCTCTTCGATATATAATAGATTTTGATATGCTAAAATAATCATTGGAAGCAATTTAAAAGGGATGATCAATAATAGTGAATATCACGATTTGAGTGGAGAATGTTGTCCAGGTGATGGTCAATCGCTATATATATAAACAAACGGAATACAATCCCTTTTTGTGGATAATTCATGAAAAATTGTTGCCTTTAGCTCCCACTATTCGAATATCAATTTTTTTTTAATTGGAAATGTTTTAATATCGGATCAGTTGGGTAACGAATAGAGGGAAGGTATCCGCGGACAAGTTGAAGTCATATTTGCATAATCTATTATAATTAATTATATTACTTCTCATAGTAACTAAATGAAATGCTTTATGTATGGTAATGTTGCCATTTCTATACCAGTGATAATTATGTGATAATTATGGGAAATGACTTCGACGAGAAAACGTAACATAAGGAAAATCTTCCATATGTGCAGCGGTCTTTAAAAATGAATATTTCTTTACGATTTATCTTTAAATTAAAATTTAACCTAAAATTTGCTTTAGGCTTTTTTTTTGAGAAGTTTCATTTACTTTACGCTAAGTTTTGTAACATTTTGTTAATTATTGAGGGATATTTGAAACTAAATTCAATTCATTTCTTTAAAAAAGTTTATGATTGCAAAGAATTGCGATCAAATGGATCATTCTATTTGCGCCTATCCGAATCATTTAAAAATTTCTATTAAATTACCAATGTTTCTCGATCCGTTAAATTCGTTTAAAACGCAGTCCGAAACTTAATTAATTTTTGCCATTTCAATAAATAAGAATATTTTGTTCTTCTCAAACAGAGCATGAAGAAAATGAAACATAAGATATAATGAAAGCTGTTTCGGTCTACGGTAGTAGACCGAAATAATTGATTATCAGTTAATTGAATTCAACCTGAGAAACAAAGAAAGAAATGTGATAGATGCAAAGATGCTAAGAATCGCTTGATTGATTGATCGATTGATTTGATTAATCTTTTTTTTTGCAACACTCTTCAGTAACCAACATTTAATAAAGAAAAATTGTTGTAAATTATGGTTATAAGAACTGATTTCTTGACACGTCAAACTTTCCGATATTTAGAGAATATCAGAGGTAGGACATTGAGCAAAACTATAATGAGAGAAGCCGAAGTGATCTCAGGAAGTGCAGTAATATCAGAAAGCATATGATGAAAGTTATATGCCGCTTCTCAGAATCTCGGATATAAAAGTTTCAGAAAAAGATGCAAATGAAAATTAGAATTTTTTAAAAACTAACTGTTTCCGCCTTTTGCTGTAAATGTTTCATGGCAATTTGCCGCTTCTTATCTTTGCAACGTTTGTTTTGGAACCATACACGTATCACACGTGGACTTAAACCTAGAAAGATGCTATTATAAGTTTTACATTTTACAAAAATATTATTGAAATTTGCAAAAATTCAATTCAAATTTCGAGAGTTTAAATGAGAATAAATAAATATTAAATGGGAATTTGATTATTTTGTATACTCTTAAAAATAACGCCCGTATCGTAGGTTTGTTGGTTGATTAGTATAGATGAACGTTGTCATATCAGAAGTGATAAGAGCTAATTTCGAGTTAGCAGTAGTACTAAAAACAGTATAAAAGATGAAGTACCGGTCATTTCAACGAGGTGTTCTTTCATCATAGCATCCGGCCGAGCATTGGCAGCATAGCATGCCTTAAGCGTCATTAGTTGTTTCTCATTAAGCACCGTCCGAACTCTAGTCGACTGGAAATATCAAAAATCAATTGGTGCATTTGATGAAATCTCAGAAATTTAAAGGTATCGATTAGAATGTCAACCGAATGTTCCACTCAAAATTTAATAAATGAATTTAAAAAATTACATAAAATTCTCAGTTCTTGATTCTCCTCCCACATAAGAATGAAAAAAAAATTACTTGTTTGTCTTTCTTGGTCTTTTTAACTTGTGATTTTGAAATGTTAAAAGTGGTTACAATCTGAAATTCATAATGACCTTCACGGTATTAATTAAACAATTAACTTTCATTTAAAATATTATCAAATTGTCGCAAATGTCTGAATTACACAGCACAACATGATAAAGTTGAATAGTGTTGAAAAGCCGTAAGCATCATCCCCAAGATTCTAAGCAAATCAACAGCTGAAAATTGGTCAGCTAAATCTGAGTAATCAAATTAAATTACCGGCAGTTAACTCAAGCTTGATCTGATTATAATGTTTGATCTTATTACATGATTCCTTCAAGCTATCAATACTTATGGTTTATTCGTCAAAATTCAAAAAGACTATTAATTTTCAATGTTAAGTAAAAATCATTTCAGAGTAAGATAATTTTGGAAAAAGCTCGAAATATAGGTAAGAAAAAGTTTTTCAACAAACCTCATCTGATTTAGGACTTCGAAGCGAAAGTGGTGGTGTACTTGACATTTGATTATCTAGGCTTGTTAAAGTTGAATCATCCCAACCATCTTCATCCTCTCGTCCATAGATATCCGTTTTGATTGAGGATGGCTGCTATATGGTAATTCATGCAAAATTACAATAAAGAAGAAAACCGGAGAGATGAATAAGATCTCTAATGGTGTAAAGCCGCTCATCCATAAGTGCGTACATCTTTCTACATCAATATTCAATGAATTAATATATTAATTAACAACCATTATAACATTCATTATTCTTACTTCAATATTATTCGTATCACAATCACTTCGACATATTATATCATCTTCTCGCTCACGTAAAATGAATTCTTCTCCAACTGTTAGTTTCTTTTCGCAATTTGAACATGAGAAACATGCCGCATGATAAGTTAATGTTCGTATTTTTATTACCATATCGGTCTTTGAAATGTATTCCTTGCAACGAACACATTTCTTCGCATCCGTTATCCTTCAAGAAAATTTTTTAAAGTATTTATTATAAGAAATAGAATTTATAATCAAAAAAGAAATTCAAAATTTAGTATTTTCAGCATTTTTGTACTCACAAAAAGTTCATTTCATTTTCTTACCATTAATAGTTGCATTTTCTATGGAAGTGATAAATGTAATGATAAGAATTATTGATTATAATGAATTATTTGATAGAGAATTCATTTGTCCGTCCATATAATATAACATTCCATCAAAAAGTTTTCTTTTTAAAATTTTGTCATTTTGACAAATATTTTGTTTAAAGCAACTATTTCTCTTTTTTTCAACTAAGGAAATGAAAATAGAAATAAAGAAAGAGTAAATGAAGAAAGGAAGCTCAACGAGTAAAATATTGATTACAGGAAAAGGTTTATTTATGTTATGGGAGAAATGTTTGTTTTATAACCAACCACCACACATGAATTGTAACCCCTTAAACAAACGGGAAAGGCGCAGCTGCTCAAGTTATTCTCCTCTAAAGAGAGCATAAACTCATCCATGAATTATTATAATGCACAAAAGATGTGTTGCAAAAATGCAGAAAAAAAATGAGGAGGAAAATTTGAAGTGGAAAAGAGAAAAAAGGAATGGATGGGAAAATAATTTATTAGTTAATTTGAGAGAATAAGAAATGGAAATAGAAAAATCCCATCTAAGACAATTAGCTCATTTCTATTTTTAAATTATTTATATTTATACAAATCATTTCTTTCGGATTTTTTTCATTCTTTTCGATGATGGAAATTTCGTTGCGAAACTTCTTTTTAAGCAAACAATGAAAAATGCAAATAATCTTCGATTAGAAGATATCATAATGATATTATTTCAATTTGTGATATCGAATAACAAATTTAGTAAGCGATATTTGACAAACGATATTGGCGTACATTGAGATATTCAATAATTTTATATCAACTTTTAATAAATAAAAATAAGACAATAAAATATGTCTCTCAAATCAATTCATTCTTTCTAACTCTCTGATTTATTATTATTCAATGATATTACTGAAAATTGCTAAGTATATCGATAGGGACTTCCTGTTATTCCAAGATATATTCTTCTTTCTTGATTCGGTAAGTTGCATATGTCTAATGCAAAAAATTTTAGCTGCTATAAGATATTACGTCACAAAATAGACCAAAGTCGCCCTTTCTTTCCATTTCTTCACCGATCGGAAAATGATCTACGAAATGGACTTCCAGATGTTCCTTTGTTTTTGCGTGATATTCTTACCCAATCAATCCATCCCAAACCAATCTTACTCCATAGAAACAAAACTAAAAACCATTCAAAACTTCAATCTTCGAATATTTTGTTTTGTCTCAAAAAATAATAAATGAATAAATCAACTGAAAACATCGATTCATTCTTTTTCAAGCCGTACCTCATATTCAAAATATTCCTTCAGTTAAAGCTTCTGTCAAACCTTTGAGGAGTTTTCTGCATAAAATAATTCACCAACTTCTTATATGTATAAAAAAAGGTAATGCAGAAAAGTTACCTTATTCATAATTTCACTTCTTTAAAATATTTGGTGAAATGATAATTGATAATAATCTTTTCATTGTTCAATAATTTGTCACTGTTTTATCACTTCTTACAATGCTTTCCTCCTCTCCTCTTTTCAATGATAATTGTGACCAAAATAGAGAAAGTATTAAAAATTTCCGCCCCGAAAGAAGCGCTGGAAGGAAGGTATGATATGATGATATTCGGTAGCTCGAGCTACCTACCTATCTTTCCTTCTTTATCACAAAAAATATGAATAAAAATTCTCACGGCATCTGCATAGGTTTTCCTATTGCTTTATCGTCGTGCATTGGTGATGAAAAAAGGCCGAGCAAAAAAAGGAAGAAAAAAAAGGAGCGAAAGAAGATGCAAGGCGGCTTTTCTTTTTCTAACATATTATTCCAATTTGAATGAATGAATGAACGAACGATCAGTCAAAGGTAATACTGTTCGATGCTTCTACCTTTTTGTATGGTAATTTAAATAAGGATTAGATTGGTTCGGTTAGGGTTTGTTAGGCTTATGAGAGATGAAAATAGGCAAAGTATAAGAAATGATAGATGGTCGATACGGCTTAATTGTTTGTTTCAGTATAATTTTATTGTAAAGACAATTTGTTGTCTTTTCTACTTTTAAGCTTGAAATTAAATGCTATAAATAATCGTAACCGATCAGTTTTCTCGAAATTATCAATGCTTGATTCGTGATAATCAAAATAATGTTGAAATTTTATAGATAAAAGTGATCGACAAAGAATGAATTAAATTGTTTTAGTTAGTGTGAATTTAAATTTTTTCATTTTAGTTTTTTAATTGTGGAAGAAATTTCTCGCTTAGTTAACTATTATTGCAAATAATACTTTCCAAATATATATATATATTCGTTTATTTATAACGTAAGTCAAAAATATTCGAAGTGATATATATATGAGAATTTTAGTTTATGCATACCTCGTTCTGCTTTCTGTTTTTTTTACACTGCAATCATCAAGCAGCAGCTGTTAGAAGAAGATTAATAGTTGTTGTTTGCTATCTATTTTCAAAATCA